CTGGGCATCAGCTATAAACATAGGTCTTATCACCCTGAGAGAGTGAACATTGTCTGCACAATATGCTGTTAATTTCAGTTGTTAGAGAGGCCCAGCTAAGAAGCGAAGTTACTGACCAAAATTGGTTCTGTTTTACCTCAAACCAGGACAGGTACTAACCCATAATTATAATTAAGGGTGTGTATTTCTGTGTTTTGAACCATATAAGTATTCCGAGGAGTTTGTAGACAGGTGTGCTAGCTTTGTGGATTACCACCTAGCACCCATCTCTGTGCAAAAATGATTTAAATAAATACCTCTGCTCTGTGTGTACATTGGTGTATTTCTGTGTTTTGAACCATATAAGTATTCCGAGGAGTTTGTAGACAGGTGTGCTAGCTTTGTGGATTACCACCTAGCACCCATCTCTGTGCAAAAATGATTTAAATAAATACCTCTGCTCTGTGTGTACATTGGCATCTTGCACACCGGGTAAATGACCCCGCTTTGGGACAACAATATGGTCCTGTGTTTTGGATTTGTGACTATAACAATCTTGACAACACACCAGTGTTTTGGCTATTGCTGAACAGTGTTAGTAGTGTCCAGGCTTTTTCCCTCTGCCACTAGGGAGTAGGCTGGGAAGTGAGCAAGAAGTTTGGAGGGGACACAGCTGCAACAGCTAACCTGAACTGGCCAAAGGGATATTCCATTCCATATAATGTCATGCTCAGCAATAAAAGACGAGGGAAGAGGTTTATTTTTGGGAGGAATGTAGCTGTTGTTCAGAGACTGGCTGGGCATCAGTCTACTTCTGGGAGGTGGTGAGTGATTGCCTTTGCATCACTTGTTCTGTTTTTCTTTTCTTCATCTTTACTTTCTCAACCCCTGAGTTCTCTTGCTTTTGCTCTTCCTATTCTCTCCCGTCCTGTGTTTTTTTTGGTGAGGGGGAGTGAGCAAGTAGTTGTGTGGTGTTTAAGCTGCTGGTGGGGGGCAAACTACATTAATTTTCACACATTGTTTTAGGAAATAAGTAGTGGTGTCATTTTAAAAAAAATACATACCTAAATGCAACTTTGAGATTTACCTACAGTCATTTTTATCAATGCATTTTATACACTGTAGATAAATAGCCAACCATATCTGTTATCCAAATTTCATTTTTACAATGTTCTATTACTTGCACCCAAAGTTAGCCAGTTTCCATAAAGAGCCTATCAGCACCTTGATTATTTTAAAAACTTACTTTTCAGGTTTAAAAATAAGATTCATGGTAGCCTTACATTACACACAAGACCAACCAATACATATTTTATAAAATGGTTTAATGGATGCATGCATGTCTGATACAGTGATAATAAATTTACTGAATTCTAATTATTCACTGTTGTAAACATTTTACAAAAGCATTGTGATTTACCTGGATGGATACACAGTCCTTGATGGAAGAATTATTTAGATTGATGGAAGAATTATTTAGACTGAATCAGTGACACATTAAAGAATAAAGCTGACAAGATTCCTTCTGCATATTCTTTTGACATGATTCCAGCAAGAGAAACAGCATGGTATAAAATGTATACAGGAAAGATTGTTCTTACCAGAACTATCAAACTCTGGAACTTGTAAATACAAGCTCAAGTGGTTAAAACAGTCAAAGTCATAATAATTGTAACCAGTCAGAAATTATAGTAAGAAATGTTATCCAGTTACATGTAGCTGTCAAAACAATGCATTTCTTTCATTGTCAGTTGATAATTCTTTTCCAACAAGACAGAAAAACTTTGGCAATTGCAGGCGTTGAAAATAATTTTCAAAGTTCAAGACAGTCACAGCATTTTCTTTGCAGGAGGTAAACTGTACACCAAGGCTTAGAGGCTGTAAAAATTGGTTCCAAGTGGAAAAAAAGTGCAAATATCCTGCACAGATAGTTAAAAAAGCTGCTGGTACAATCATTCACTAAAGGAATTTTAGTTTTCTTTTTGCATAGTTCACACATCACTGGGAATGTGACAGGGTGTGCTATTTTTGGCAAGAGCAAAAAAGGTGATACTTGTGTGAGTTGCCATGTTAGACATGCTGGATCCATGAGGAATTCAGGTAGAGGGTTGCTACCTGATGTTATTAGACACTGAATACTGATTTTGTTTTTGTTGAAGCAGTTCTGTAATAGCCAACAGCTTCTTAAGAACATGCTGTAGAAAAAAAAAAAACAAAAGCAAAAAAAAACCCAGTACAACCCTACATTAGCAACTAGAAAAAAAACAAAACCTATCTTGCTTGAGAAGCATCTTCAACATTAACCTACCAGACTCAGAATTCGTTAGTTTAAAATATATTTCACACACTCCCCACCCCCCACCCCCCCAAGCTCCAGTTCCCTAGTCACTAAGACATTACTTCAAAAGACAACTGTAAAGCAGCAATATGAAATTTATCTGCACCCATGGAGACCCATTAAGTCTTGCCAACTTAACCCGATAGATTCAAAATGAAAGAGAATTCTCCCATCTGTTAAAAGCAATCTGTAAACCAAAAATCCATTCTTGGGTATTTTCCCCATGTGAAAGTGTAGAAATGGGCCAAGAAAATGAAAAAAACCAAAAGTCCAGTAACAAAAAAAAGGTGATAATACAATTCACTTCTGTACAGGCAGAACTACCCTCTTTTAACTTTCTGAAAACTTGGTCCTTACACTAAACCAAATGCAACTGAACATACACATAAAACAGGCTGAGAAACCATATTGCTAATGCACTGTCAGGAGTTCAATCATTTTTTCATTATAGTAGAACTATGTTCAACTACAACAGGGTGATCCTGAACTGTAAGGGCACTTACAGGAGGAAAAAGGGAAAAAATTCAAGATTTTTCTTTACAGAAACCCATGAGGAGAAATTACTCCTCTGAAGCAGAAATATAAGTGTATTGAGGAAACAGTATCACATCTGTAGCCATTAAGTACTTCAGTTACAGGCCTTGTGAAATAAATGATATCCCTTATATGTAAGCAATACATATTTAGTACTGAAAACTTCTACTATCCTGTCTTGGCAGTCTAGCTATCATTTTTGCTCTGTCAAGACTAGCAGTAGCGGTAAGTGAATCATGAACTTGAACACAATTGATTTTTTTTCCTTGTATGCCACCGAAGAGGTAAATTGTAGTAGTTATTAAACTGGATTAGTTTTGAATTGCTATAATGAAGCATTATCTCATTTTTAATTCCTTGAGCTTTCTTCTGCCAAAGATGATTAAATACAAATATATTTTCACCTTTTGCAAAATCACCATAAGAGCACCCAGTAATCCCCTTATTTAAAAAACATTACTGCCGAAAAATGCATTATTTGAGTAACATCTCCTGCCAGGACAAAGAAATATAGATTTATCATCTACCTGGGTTTAAATTAAGGCCTTCAAAGAGTCAGGTTACAGGAATACCAGTCTTTAAACCATGAGAATAATAAGAAATCTGATTAGAAGAAGTTATTTTGAAACAATTAAATTAAAAACTATTTTAAAAACTACGTCTTCCAAAATGAGTTATTAAATAGTTTAAGCTGATACTGATTAAATTTAAGAAGACCATCTCTAAACAAAAAGGCTTTCTATAATACAACTGCCCCTATCCCCAAATTATTATCATTAAAAAGGGTAGACTATTTAAATTATCTCCTGCACAGCACAGTCAAGCATACCAAAACATATTATTGTGCAATAAGTAGAATTGCCGACTTGAAGTTCATCATAATTAGTAGACCATAGGCAAGTATATTACTTTTGTAGTATTTTGAGACAATGCATGAAGTCATGTGATTTTTTTTCCTCTTAAAAAATAAGTTTTCATAAAATCTGTATAGAAGTTTAATAGTTGGAACAGAACACTCATTTATAGTGTTTGCTAGAGAACTTTGCCATGTTTGTTTACAAATGTGATAAATCAGGAAGCAGAAATGAAGTAGTGATAGAAAGCTAAGGAAAGTAAATTTAGTTATTTAGTTCTCAATTAGAACTAGATCCTAAAACTAGAGCCTGTCAGGAGACAGTAATTTCTTGAGTTTAGGCTTCCTCTAGAAACTAAAAACTTCACCTGGAGACTAAACAAAAAAAAGAAAAAAATCCCAAAAGCAAAAAAACAAAACAAAATACCAAATCCCAACTCACTGCTTTAAAACATCTTTGGGTTTGTTGTATAAATACTTAGTTAATAGTTTTGAACTTCTTTACCTTTACAACTAGCAACCGCCTGGTGAAATTTACATATTATTTATCACTCATACTGCTGGACAGAAAAATTAGAAAAGAATCATGATATTAAGCAATAACTCAAGACATGCTGTCTGTACCTGTGATTTTTGTTAACCATTGTAGTTTACCTGCATTATGCCTCGCTCATTACTGAGTGTCCGAAGTTCATCTGAATGTACCACACACATTTCATGCAAGGCTGCCAGATAACGGGATAAGTCAGTTCTAGAGTGCTCTGTAGTGTCTGGAAGCTCCGGAACATTCTTTAACAAAAATTATGAGAGCAAACTTAGAATGGCAAGTAGCCAGTCATATAAGAAATTAAATTACAGTTCTACAGCCCCACCAACAGCTGTTTTGATATTACAAGCAAGTACTGCAATATTTTTCTTCAGGATGTAGAATCTGATGAAATATTCTATAAAGAGCTGGGAGAAGTCTCGCGATCATCTGCCCTTGTTCTCGTGGGGGACTTCAACTTCCCAGATGTCTGCTGGAAATATTACGCAGCAGAGAGGCAACAGTCCCAGAGGTTCCTGGAGTGTGTGGAAGACAACTTCCTTACACAGCTGGTGAACAAACCAACTAGGGGAAGTGCCCTACTGGACCTACTTACTGTTTGTTAACAGAGAAGGTCTTCTGGGGGATGTAAAGGTTGGAGGTCGTCTTGGGCTCAGTGATCATGAAATGGTGGAATTTTCAATTCTTGGTGAAGCAAGGCGGGGAGCCAGCAGAACTGCCACCTTGGACTTCCGAAGGGCAGACTTTAGCCTGTTCAGGAGCATGGTTGAGAGTGTCCCTTGGGAG